AGGCTGACCTCCTCCCTTGTCAGCTTGTCTTCCGTGACTTGGGTATAGTCAGTTCCTGCACCCTTAAAATTAATTCCTTAAAGTATGCCCAGCCTTCTGGGCTCCCATGCCCTCCAGAACAGCCTCTCAGGGAACTCTCTTAACCATGGACCGGAATAGACCAAAGTCAGCCCTCCGGAAGTCCAAGGTGGGAATTCTGCTGACTCCCCTCCTTACTTCACCAGAAATGGAGAACCCTAGCATTATATGATCACTTTGTCCAAGACAGCCTCCAACAATTACATCCCCCGCAAGACCTTCTCTATTAACAAGCAGCAAGTCCAGGAGTGCACTTCCCCTCGTTGGTTCCCTCACCATCTGTGTCAGGAAGTTTTCTCCCACACACTTCATGAACCTCCGGGACCGATCCCTCTCTGCTGTACTGTATTTCCAGCAGATGTCTGGGAAGATAAAATCCCCCAATGAGAACAAGGGGTAGAGTCCGTGCAACTTCACCCAATTGCCTATAAAGTATCTTACCTATTTCTTCATCCTGGTTGGGAGGTCTGTAGCAGACTCCCACGATGACGTCAGTCTTACTGGCTTTTCCCATTCCTTTGATTCTAACCCATTATACAGGTCAAAATTAATAGTGGGCATTGTATGCATGTTTATGTTAAAATATGGTAAAGATTATAATTTTGCATAAAAGGTGTATAAATAGGCTGAATTTTTGTGATATATCCAAAGCATTGGGTGGTTTCCATTCTTCCCAGCGCTGCAATAAAGAAGTGCCTGCTGTCTAAGTGTAGATTAAGTTCTCTTGGTTTTGCGACCTTCCCTTTGAAAACTGCAGCAATTGGGCCTGATCACCTGGTTGTCCTGCATGTGCTGCATAATGGAACTGAGGATGATCTGCTCCATCAGCTTCTCTGGCACTGAAGTCAAACTGACAGGCCTGTAAGTTCTGGTATCATCCTTCTGTATCTTCTTATAGATGGGTGTTATATTGGCTGTCTTCCAACCTGCTGGGACCTCCCCAGTCAGTCAGGACTGTTGATAAATGATGGACAATGGATTGGTGAGCACCCCTGCCAGTTGTCTCAGCACTCTAGGATGTACCCCATCCAGCACCATAGATCTGGCACATCAGTGTGGAGCAGCAGGTCACTGACCATCTGCTCCTGGATTGTGGGAGGGACATTTTGCGCCAGGCCCCTGCCTCTTGGCTTTGGGGGCTGGCTTCCCTCAGTACACGTGTTTCTGTTGCTAAAGGCTGAGGCAAAGAAGGCATTAAGAACCTCAGCCTTATCTTTGTCTTGTCTTACCATATTTCCTCCTGGGTCTAGCAGGGGATGAAGACTCTCCCTGGTCTTTCTTTTGTTATTAATGTATTTATAGAAACTTTTCTTGTCGTCCTTTACCTCCAAAGGCAGATTAACTTCTAGCTGGGCTTTGGACCTCCTAATTATCTCCCTGCATAGCCTAGCAACGTTCTTGTACTCCTTATGAGTGGCCTGCCCCTTCTTCCAGAGGCCATTAACTCTCCTTTTTTTCCCTGATTTTTCAGCCAAATCTCCCTGTTCAGCCAGACTCGTCTTCTTTGCTGCCGGCTCGTCTTACGACACATTGGATGGCCTGCTCCTGTGCCTTTAAGATTTCCTTCTTAAAAATTGCCCAGCCTTCCTGGACTACTGCCCCCTTTAAAATTGATTTCTAAGGGACTCTATCAAGTAACCTCAGGGATAGTGACAGAGGACTGGAACTGTTTCCAGACTACTCTTCTCCACCTCACTGTCCATCGTATTTGAGAATGCACTCTGTCTGGTGATAGAAGTGTTTCTGTTCCCCCATTTTCACCTCCTTGTCGTTTCACCGCGTCCTGTCTTCTGTCTTCCGACTTTTTCTTCTCCTTTCCTTTTTTCTTCTCCTTTCTTCTCCTTTTCTACTCCTTTCCTTTTTCTGCTCCTTTCCTTTTCTTCTCCTTTCTGACATACCAGGCAAAGATCTCAAACACCCTCCACACTCACAGTGGTCAGGGAGGGAAACAGGGCCATTGAGTCACAGGTCAGGGACTGCTCCCGAATAAGAACTCTGCCCCTGGTGAAAACAGGCTGAAGGACAAGATGATAGGCTACAGCTCAGAGCTTCTTCTGGAAAAGGGCAGGTACTGAGCATTCAGTAACTGCTTCCAGAGCAATGGGACACAAAGCTACGGTCTGATCCTGTTTGTATACAGCGCCTACCTCAGTGACTCCAGGCACCTATTACTCTCCCAGGTCAAAGCATCACCCTCAGTGACAAGGCATCTGAGAGAGCCAGGCACAAACCTCTCTGTAGGCAAATGGTACTTGTTTCTTCATGTCCTGCTCTTCTCCTCTCACTCTTTTTCCTCCAGTGTTGGATTTAAAATTAAAAATATTTCTCCCCACTTCACCCGCTCTCTGCTTTTTCTATCCTTTTGTTTTACTCAAACTCCATTTCATATCCCTTTTCTTTTTTTAGGTGACGGCTGCACAGCCCATTGGCAACTTTGGCAGCTTTTTCATGGACTTCCAATTCCAGTGCCGGTTGGGGTTAGGAGGTGTTAAAACCAAAACCCAGGAACATGTCTGTCCTTTTGGCTCTTCCAGGAAAATTAAGCAAGACCAGCACAGCCACTAAACTGAGCAAAAAGGTATAGAGAGCAGCCCCAGTGGCACTGGTACATGAAGAGAACAAGTGCTAGCAAGAGACTGTTTCATTCTCCAAGTAGAGCTTTCAGGGAGTTTTCCCTAGGGGATCCTCACTCGTATTGCTGGGGGTGGGAGTGAGGGCGATGGGGAGCATTTGTGTTGCTGCCTGCTGTTCTCTGCAGTAGGAGTGTGCTGCCAGTCTGACTCAGCACACTCTCTCAGCCGTTTTAGGCAGTTTGGTAGCACCTCAGTATGTGCTGATAAGCAGAAAAGATGTTCTGCTCCAGAAATGGCTGCATGTGACTGACTGAGAGACTCCTGAAGATGAGTCTGCAAACTATTCCAAGGTCCTGCTAGTGGAGAAGCACCGCAAATACTACACATCTTCCCCAGACTGACATTGCCTGCCTCTGTTCCCCATAACATAGCCTATGGAAGTACCCAGAGAAACATTGCACAAAAAAGGTGTGCCTGAAGGTCTTTATTTTTTTGATGGTTTTTGTATATCCAGTCCCAAACCAGAAGAAAATGGCAAGGAGAAAAAGCAGGTCACGTAGAACACGAGTGTCTCAATTGGCAGAAATAGTTGCTTCGATCCAGGAGACATAATTGCAAACCTTGGTATAAACCCCGGGATAGCCTTTCTGCGCACATCCAATACCCCAGGAAACAATGCCCTGGAGCTGCCCATTGCAGACTACTGGACCGCCGGAATCGCCCTGTGCACATAAAGGGTATGGAAATTCAGGAAATGATATCAGCAAAAGTGATGAGCCAGAGACCCCAGAAATCACTGACATTTGAAGGAGCTCCATTGGGCTTTTTCTACACAGAAGTTGTACAAAGGTCATTTCCGACTACCACACTACACCTGATATCCTGCCAAATATTTCCATGGAGCTAGACACACGTACAGTGCAGAGCAGCTGTCAGGTGTGTTCGTTTTCCAGACTGCCTCGATCTTGGCACACTGCCTACTTCAGTTTCGCTGAGTCCAAAAGTAACATTTGTGTCCTGAGCAGTGAAGTCAACCGTGATTGCTACTGACTCTCCGGTGCAGCACTCCTCCGTTTTCAGTAGCCTAAGGTGCAGGAACTGGCATAGTCTGCTTGTGGAGATTTAGGGCAGAGGTATTCACTGTCTCAGAAATGGGACAATGACTAACTGAGCGGAAGAAAAACCCTAGCCTCGCTCAACAAGCAACTTTCACCCTAAGCCTTCATTGTTTTTTGGGAGGACAGCGTGCAGACATGCCAGTGCAGTGACTTTAGCAGATTCTCTAATATAAAGGCCTCTTTTACTGGCCAAAGGCAGGAGAGAAACAGGTGGGAACGGAGAGGCAGATGTTTTACCTGGCAGGAGTCTTTCCCTCCCTCCACGAATCCTACACATATCATGTTGTCAGTAATTTTCCCAGGATAGGCTTGGCTGCACTCACTGGAGGAGAGTACAGGAGCTTCCAGGCACTGCAAAGTATCCGGATACAGAACTACAAGAAAATAGGGAGAGAGAGTTGACAACATCTCCGAGTTCGTTTCAGAGCCGGAAGAAGATCTTTCTTAGCAGAAAAGCATTCACTGAACAACCTGTTTCAGGAGTTGTAATTTTTTCTCTGAACAGTAGTCACAGCACGGACTCCTTTTGTTTAGATGGAACCGATTCTACCCATGGGTCCGCTGTTTTACAGTGCAGCAATGTTAATTTTTCTGATATCTAGAAAATCATCAACTGGCAAGTGTGGAGCTAAGAGCTGCACTTGTAGCACATATGCTGGAGGAAACCTGGGCCTCAGGAAAACAGTCCTCTCCTCTGGTGCAGGTTTAGTTATCGTCAGTGGACTAGACACCACTCACCACTCACACCTCTGACTATTGGTGTAAGAGGACGGAGCTCTCTTGTAGAAATTTTAGATCCACGGTCACAGATACTGATCTTGTTCTCAGAGACCTGACCACTCCCTTGACACAAGTTAAACTGCTCGTGCTTGGCACTGTACAGCTGATAGCTACAGGCCACAAAATTTATGGCAGCGTGAACATGCTGGTGAACGGCACATCAGTGAATTTAGAGGCTCCATGTTCGTAACACAGACCAAGAGGAAGGACCTTATGAAGGCTTGCCTATGAAGCCGTTAAATGGTTATTGTCCTACACAGATGGATCACTCAACAAGGCCTGTCCCACAGCACTTCTCTGTGCTTTAACCTGTACTCTTTGGAGCTAATTGTAGGGTCTTAGAGTGTCTCCCAGGCCCTCGTGATGCTGTACATTCCCACAGAGTACTCACCACCATTGCTGCGTGTGTTGCCCCAGCCAGAGATCAGGCATGTGGTGCCTGTGGCCACGCAGCTGGTAGGCAAAGCAACTGTTTGGACAGCTCGGTTGAGCTGGGCTGGCGCGGCAAGCTTGATGAGCATAATGTCATTGTCCAGTGTTGCAGAACTGTAGCCAGAGTGGCGGATGACTTTAGCTGAACTAATCAACTGCTGTGTCGATTCTGTGAGTGCCAGGTTATGTTTCCCAAGCTGCACTTGGATGCGGCTGGAAAAGAGAAGGAATGGCATGTACTTCATTGCTATCGACAGGCAGCCTCCCTGCCACCCTATGCCCTCATTTCAACATTGCTATCATAGCAGCTGTTTACACACAGGTTATCTTTCTTATCCTGCGACAGGTCCTGAGGATCCACACTGAGATCTTACCCACTCCCAGAACAGCTGCTGAATTTCTGCAGGTTTATTTTGTTGAGATGGGAAAAGCTGAACATACAACAGGGCTTCGCACGAACATTCTCGACAAAGGCAAACTGCTACCTGAGCCTGAGCTCATTTCTCTTCCTGTTCCGCAGTGACTAAGTCTGAGCAAGATTAATGCAATTTGTAGCAAATCACACCCTGTAACGCATTGCTGGATTATCTCGTCGTTTCAGAACGTGCTCTGCGTTCACGGAAACATTTGCAGAAGTGGAAATCCCCTTATGATGCCTCAGCCCAGCTTCCCAAAGGAGCCACCGATTCCTTGGTTGTCTGCTGTTGCCAGAACGGAGTCACTTACATATTTTGTTCTCACAGCTCAGAATTCCTGCTAGATCTGAACTGAACTGAACTGATCGAAAGAAGCAGATTATGGAAGAATATATTAATATTCCACTCACGACTTGTAGCAGTGAGCAGCTGACAGGACCCACTGGCTGTTGATGAGGGAACCTCCACAGAAGTGATACCCAGAATTCAGGGACACCTGATAGGGTACAGAGTTCTCTGCACAGGTGTAGCCTCCCACGATCTTGTCGTCATCGTCATCATCAGTGTTGGTAGGGAAGGCAACTGGGAGGTAAGAAGTGGCATATGTCAACAGCTGGCGCAAACAACAATAACTATGTCCCTGTGACTGAAGCATGTCAGTTAGAGGCTCGACTTCTGTAAAAAATCTCACGGTAGCGGTGGTAGGCAAGCCCAATGGACATTCATTTACTGCTCCCTAAAACAAGGCGATCGGACTTAGATTGGTGCTTCATGTACCTGCATCTAAAGCACAGGCTGCTACCAGCCGGAGTGGACATAAGAACATAGAAACGCTCTTGCTGCATTGCATCAAAGGCATGTCCGTCCCAGATCCTGCCTGCAGTAGTGGTCAAGAGTGGTCAACTGAGTGTAAGTACAAAACAAGTCTGCAGTTCTACTTCCGTAGAGCGCTCGCTCATAGTTCAAAAATTTACAGCAGCTTTGGGACTTCCTGAGACAGAGGTGTGATCTTGGAATTTCAAAGTCCTTAAGAGAGAGATGGCCCTTTTTTTTGGAGCTATGGACGTGCTTCAGTATTCCTGGGTCCAAACCCCTAAGGCAGCATTCATTCCCCTTTTTGTGACACAAGCACTATGAGCAGACAGCAGTCGAAAGAAGTTGCAGCGCTCTGCCTTAAACCACTGTCCTACAACAGACCACCTTGTAAATTTGCTCGGAAAATGAGCTTCCTTAAAAATTACAAAAATATAAATAAAAAATATACTCACCAGCCACACCAACAAAGGTGACAAACAGTATGTATTTCATGGTCTCAGCACAGCCCCAAGCCCAGACTGGTGGACTGGAAGTGTGAGCTGCTAGAAATACATTTTCTGAAATGGCCTTATCTCTAGTCCAAGGTTTTCTCCAGACAAGAGGTACACAGTGGAAAATTTGAAGATCCAAAGGTAGGCATTAACGGGCACTGGTAGAATGTACAAATAACATACCAGTTAATAATAAACCTTTCCTAAGATAGAGTGCTATTTTAAATTATTTCAGAGGGCAGCTTTCCACTTAAAAACACATTTGGGCTTTGCAAGATGTATGGTAGTTTGTCTGCCTCATTGTTACAGGCAGCAGCTGTTGAGAACAACCCTCACACCCCTTTGGGATTCCTCTGGGTTGGTGTTGCCATTCTTGAAAATGCACGCTTTTTACCAGAAGTTGAATGTTATAGGCAATAGACTGCAAGATACTATACATTTATTTTTAATTAAAAGGAAAAATAAAAAAACATCCCACAAACAGAACAAAAAAATACCCAACAAAAACCTCTGTGCTGTTATGTTCATTTTGTCATATCACTTTTCTTGAGCAACATGTGTGCCTGTGTGCGTGTGTATCATATAGAGCACACTACTTTCACAAATAAAATTACTTAGAAGTAATTTCAGTAAGTGACTATGAAAAAAGATATTCTGTGTCCTCATCATCTCCCAATGTGCGAATGCACACCGTATCTTTTTGAAACCATTTTTCTCACCTAATCCATATGATAAAATCCAAGCAGCCGCCACCTGCCGTCATGTTAGCTCCTGAAAGACATGGGATAACCTC